TAATGAGCTTGATTGGAAATTCAAAAACCCATGTACATGATGTACTTATCAAGCTATTGAGGCCGTGTACCGAGGGTAAGTACAAGTCATGTACGTGATGTACTTCTCTTTCTGAACCTAGAAGATATGTGTTGTTGTAGATATGGGTGATGTTCCGGTGCTCGTGGATTGATCGAAAAGACGTGGACCCTTTCCTCCACGACCAGAAACACAACCTAGTTGCTTGATGTCTGGTGATTGTGAATTCGTCAGGCAGAGTTGCATCGCCGCTTCCTCTCTCTCTACTGTAAATTGCAGTTGTGAGCGTTCGGAGGCTGCGTGGGAGGATAATGGCTGTGTTTCTAGCTGTGCACTGCAGCGAGAAATGCACTGGAAAGGGTGTGCCAATGTTGCGCATCTCCACGGCCTAGCCCTGCAGAGTCGATCTTCAGAGCGGCTGGAAGCACGAGAGACATCCCACTTCCAGTCTGGCAAATCGAAGGGAAGCTAATTACCTTCTAATCAAGCAAACAATGTGTTCCTAAGATCAGCCATGCATGATACGACATGAAACCAGCAATGTCTGCAATCTTGTACATTCATGTCCACACGAACAGGTATGGTACTGGGCCATGGCATGGGGGCAACACGAAATCAGCACCGTGACCCCAACTGTGCACGTGACATTCTACCTGTGAAGCAGTGCAGTAGCGGATATCGTAAAAGCAGAACTTTTCGGCTGAGTAATATTTTCGGTATTCTCCAAAATTGGCGGTTGGGTGAGGGACATTTTCGGTAAACCCGTTTTAAGTGTACTAGTAGTAGTGTTACTGAGCCGATAATAAATGTTTTAAAAAAAGAGAGAAGAAAACATCATCTTTTTACAGTCGTGGATAGTTGCTGCATAACTCGTTCTCATTTTGTGTTCTTCTCTTCTTTACGTTTTATTTTAGGTAGAAATTGTCGGCACCGAAGTTACCAAAAATAAAACACCACCAACAATTTCTGCGCGACAGTGTTGTGGAACTTGTGGTGTTTTGCCCCACCAATTTATTGAATCCCGAAGACCAGCCGTTGACCACTATTATGCACAACTCAACCATTCGCTACCCTGTTATTGAGCACACCTTCTCGTTTGGTCTGGTGAATCCAAATAAAATCAATCAATCATCACCGAACATACTAGCGCTAGTACTGTAGTAAATTTACCTAGCCACCACTTGCTGCTAGTGAGTGATTGAGTATTGGTGTTTATAATTATAGCCCTTGCTGCAGACAGCCGTCCGAAATTTAAAAATTAATTCCATCAATTATGAGCTCGGATGGCCGGAGAGCCAAGGATTATTAATTTTATGAAAATTCCATCAATTATTTTCATCATTTGACCAGCGAAGCGTCTGTTGCACAGATCTGCATGCCGGCCCTTGGGTCTGCTTTCATTTTGACCTGGACCTCTGAAGTCTGTGGTCACACATCCATTCCAGGTGATAATGGAATTATCCTGTCATGCAGAATCTGTAGTTGGCCATTACCCCATGCAGCGCTGCACTGGCTGTGCATGTGTTGTGCTGGTAGGTGTTCCCACTCTGGCCCTGGGTCTGGCAGGCTAGCTCAGTCTCAGCTGAATGGTATGGACGGGAGAATTAGAGAGTACTGCGGGATTCGCAGCACGGAGGTACAAGCTGCTGGTAAGAAGGTCGTGTCACAAACATTCTTGCTCAGTATGGGACAGAAAACCCTAGACTGGCTAGAGCAGCTAGCTACATGTATGTATCCGCGCACATTATGTACAGGTTTTTCTCTAAATCTAATCCCCAGCATCCCAGATTGCAAGGCTGAAGAATTGACCGCCACTATTTAGCCTGGTCTACACCACACAGCTATGAAGTGACTTTTCTGGCCAGTAAATCCACACACGCACACACACACACACACACACACACACACACACACACACACACACACCATGTACACACAAATTCACAATCGCACGCGGAACGCCTGCAACTGGCAGGATCAGAGGTGATGCTGTCTGTTTCTGAGCAAGAAAACGCTGTACACTCTTACTCCACTCGTAATCTGTCACTTCCTCATAATGAAAGTCCTCATGTGTATTGTGCTATAAAGGAACAATGAACGATAAAATCATAGTCCATTGATAATAATACTAGTAATATGCTTACGGTTCAGTGGTTCACCGTGATCACGATCCGTGAAACATTATTTTAGAGCACATTATCCACAGTCATGGTATAATTATGTACTTTGAGAATGTCTTGCCGTACCGATTTCTCTATCATTATCGCTTCTCTCAGTCTGCCATGACGGTGCTTGGACCGGAATGCAGCCATAGTTCAGCTTGACGCGTTGTGGCTTTTGTGGTTCAGTTTTTTTTTGTTTTGTTTCCATTGCGGCCCTCTAAGCACCTGGTCACACCACTCCACTAATTAGCTGCAAATCTTCTTATAGCCGAAGCAGGTGTGAATGTCCTCTCTCCAAGGGGTGCTGCGCAGGTCTCCCCAGCGACCTAAAGCCATGAACAAGCTGGGGAGAGGTGCTATTGAAGATAACACTAGTGGGGGTTCTGACGAGGTTTGTGCGCCTCCAAGACATCCACTCATCCGGCTCAACGTGATTTGGATGTCTCTGCTTCTGCTGTTATGTTTCATGCCAGTTTCTAGGACCAGCTGGTAGTGGTGGAACAAGACAGTGATTCTAAAGGCGAATCCCAGCGGGTGAGAATTATATCATCACATACATAGTCATTCTACACCATCCCATTCGCCTAGAGATTATAACGGTTCCCGTCTATGCATAACTCTGGTCCGTGCATGTAGCTAGCCAGCTAGCGACATGCCCGAAGCTGAACTAAACAGGTGGCCTTGTGTGTTTCAAACCTAAAATTATTTCAGAGCGTGAGTCCGAACATTGTATGTACAGTGTAGTAAATACTAAATACCTCCAAAATATCGTTCACAGGTCATCTGGCATCCCTGCCGGTACATGAAATTCCGTGTTGAAATACCAGACGGGGCTAAACACAGTCGAGTCCCAGAGGATATCTTCCTCACCTACATAGTGCCTTTTTACGTGTACTGTAGCTACACAAGCTTCGTTGAACTGGTGAAAACAAAGCTCGCCTACTGCATCACCAGATCACTGCAATTATGTAGTGTTGCCGTGTTCATACGAGACCGTTGACCATGCCAAGGACACCATGACTGTAGATAGTGCTGGCCCAAGGACGTATGGAGATACGCTGGTCTGTCGTCGAGTGTTTCGTTCAACAACACTACGTACTGTGTTGCCTTTTCGACTCAAGATCCACTTCCCTTGCAAGCCTAGCGGACCCGCTACAAGGACCGGATCAAAGAGCGCAAGCTACTGCATCACCAGATCACACATCACTACAACAAGTACAAGTACAATTGATGTTTCGTGTGGGATTTGTCCGAAGTGCTGATCTGGTCAGGAGTCAGCTTGCCGCCCAGAGCTAATGCCTGCAATGGGTGTAACCTGACGGTTCACTACCGGATAAGTAGCGCAGCGCTGAAACGGCATTGTTCTTGCAGTGCCACACGTGTGGAGAACGAGACACCAGTACATCCGTCCATTCATGGTCAGCTAAATGTTGCCTTTGAATGGGATACGACTGTAGTAGTGCTAGTGCCGGGGTTGAGAAAAGGTGGAGGCAAACAGTCGCAGCTCATACCGGCCCACTTATTAAAACCCTTACTAGTTCGGTTGACATCCGTCCGAGTAACGCAGATTTGCAACAATGTCACATGAAATCTGTACTACGTTCGACTTCTTTGAAGACACCAGACATTACAAACTGCAACCAGTTCCTAGCTCGGTCTGATCTAGAGGAACCGTGGTTGGCAGACCTCCAGACGGAACGCTGCTGTCGAGGGCCATTGGGTTTTCTAGCCTCGGACCACACGCAACAATCAGAGATCTCAGAACGAGTCGTCAATCTGGCAATTACCGACAGCTTCTGCCTGTGCGCACAGGGCTGTGCTGGACCCTGGGCATCGACCCGTTAGGGCAAGTGTATGATTGCGTGACGAGGAGCAACAAGCCAACATCACAGAATCAGCGGAGGCAACGTGTGGCCCGCTAGATTCTAAGTTTAGATTCGCTCGTGAACCATCCACGGAATGCAGGTGACAATGTAACACAGTAAAACCCAGCGAAGTGACGGAGAGAACAGGCAGCGCTCTTTCAAGACACGGACTTTTGGCGAACACGGGATCAAAGTTTCCCACGCACATGTACACACTATGCTGCTGCCACTTCGGGATACAATCATGATTATAAAGTGCGCGAACACTGAGAATCTTTGGTACAGTAGACTATCGGGATATAGTGAACACTTGCATAAGTTGCGACACAGGATTACATGTACAAAGACATCTACCCCAGCACGATCTACTGGCTTCCCCACGGACGGAACGTTCAACCAACACCCCCCCTTCAACCAGGCCAGATCACCCATGCCACACATGCACACTTGGCGGCAGCTAAAGCTTCAAAACATTGTAATTACTATTAATTTTGTAGTTTCCATGACTTGTCCACTTTCTAAAGCAGGTGGCCGAGACGACCGCGTGAGGTGTAAGTCACTTTTCTAATTATTATTTTGATGTGAGCGTTGTACTTGCCCCCACATCTCACAGTCACACAGAGCTAGCACAGCACGAACTGCAGTCCTGATTGGCTAGTACATGTACATGTACAGTCATGTACATTGTAATACATGTACTAGTACTAGTTTTAAGTCGAAAGCGGCGGTTAGTGATAGCGCTGATCCTTCTGTCTGTGGGAATTAGCTACATCGTTTCATCGGTTTGTCTACGCGGAAGACAAACGGTAGCAGCTTTAATACTGCAGGCTTTAGAAAGTGGACAAGTCATGGAACAATTATTTGTTGAAGCGTTAGCTGCCGCTATGCTAGCTCTGTGTGAGATGTGTAAGCAAGCACAACGCTCATATCAAGTCAAAATAGAAAAGCGACTTACCCCTCGCGCCGTCGTCTCGACCACCTGTGCGTTGCCGACGGGCAGAGTTCCACACACCAGCAGCGACCCTAGGCCGCATAGCAGCAACAACGCTGCTCGGCTGCACGCCATTTCCGCACCTCTAAAGTGAACCCAAGTTCAAGTGCAGTTCCTCACTGCACCGCACTGGAAATTCCACCTCGGCAGAAAGTAGAGCTGAATATACTTCTTCCTTCTCTCTAAAGCAATGATCAAATTTATGGGAAGTTGTTACAGTATTAGTATGCCATCGCCTAGCAGTTAGTTATGGTGACTTGCCATTTCAGTGCCACCCGTTCAGCCCGCGACTAGATCAGCGCCGGACTTTTCAGCGCTACCCCGCGCCTCGCGAGGCACAGCGCCAGAACTAGCAGCAGATGGTCGGGAGCTGGAGAACACTGCATGCGCGGTCACGTGAGCCAAGTCCGTAAAAAATGACTGTGATCTAGTACTCTGCTCATACATGTATAGCGCATGCACGCCGATTCCATGCACGTGTGAATGTCACGTGAATCACAGAGTATCGGCAAGACCCGTACCCGAGCTACGTAGTATACGACACAGTCATACCGGTATTATGAATATGACTCATAATAATTGGGTAGACATCGCTAATAGTAATATCCATTACTGCTGCGCTGTCTTCTTTCACCAAAATATTAATTGGCTCACCAATGACCATCCAGTATATTGATTTGTTATACTTCAAAGTACTAGCAGTAGTAGTTTACTGAATTTGTTTGATGATACGTGTACATGTATGTGCAATTGATTTTGCCGGTACAAGATGCACAGACGGGCGCAGTTCACGCGACATAGCACGGAGTAACTCGCAGGCGCACATCAAGCAACTCGTTATTGTACAAGACTAGTACTAGTAGTCTACATGTAGTAGGTTGGACTCTTCTCTTCGCCATGTAACTGTTAGGCGCTGCATCTGCCGCTATAATTATGGTGTTATAGCGCCGATATTAGCGGCCGTCGTGAGTTCTCTTCTGGACGGGACACAATCACACAGGCTTCAGCTTTCAGACGGATCGACACAGACACATTTTGCGTATTTTTAAAAACACACATCGAGAGCTAGCTAGTATTACTTGTAACAATCGTCGACAATGACCATGATGACAATGTCAGTCATGCGACTCCTGACCAGTCACCTGATACTGATTAGTGATTACTCGAGTAAAATAATCATTTCGCCTCCGTCTAATCTGCGCACCGCGTGACTTGCTTGGTGCTTGGATCCATGGACTCTAGTCTAGGCTAGCTCTTTCGTGAACCTATCCTATCACCTGCTGGTTCGAAGTCCATGCAGTCTCTTGGTTGGGGTGGACGTGGATCTTGGGGGAAAACGCGATACGACATCAATACAAGGACATGCATGACCCGTGCCTAGCGCTTGTGGGCCTGTGAGTTTGTGACCTGTACTCAGGCTGTAGTGTAGAATGTAGATCCTACACCAATGACTATATGATCATGTAGACCATACCTGACAGTACTGCACGTACACTGGCTGCACGGATTTGAACAAGGGTTAGTCCACACGGCTACAATGACGGAACGAGTATCAAGACTGAAGAGTTTGTGACAACAATCAGAAAGCGGTTTTCTGATTGACGTGATAAGGGTCAAATCAGCCAACTAGACTACTTCCGAGTTCAGACACGACTTCCACAGCATGACCAGTGGTGACATGTACGACACGAGAGAGGTCTTCCGGTTCCCTGAGCTGATACCTGCTGATCATCAACTCACTGCAGTGCAGACAGACACTGACTACTGAGTCAGTGTCGACAGTGCAGTCTTTCAGACTCAGAGCGAGAAGCCTACTGAGCTCGACGACTCTACACACTCAGTACAGTGCTATACAGTCAACTACTACGAACACCATCGTGCAGGAGTTCTGTGTCGCAGGCCGACATTCTATATACAGTCGTCCCTCTCTAATCCAGCACTTTATAATCCAGCACCCTCGATAAACCAGCACAATTTTCAGTTGCCAAAATGTCCAGTAAATCAGATTTTGTTATTCCAGCACCCTCCCTAAAAGGACCCTAATCCAGCAGATCTTCCGTGGCACAAATGGTGCCGGATTATAGAGGGACCACTGTAACACACAGGCTGTACAAACAACACGGCCCACTTTCACATGACAGTCGACAGACTCATCAGCTCAGTACACCATGGACCACACACATGATGATTTTCTGCATGACAGATATTACATGTATTATGATTGTACAGTGCTGGCAACTGAAATCCGACCCCCGGGGCGGGGCGGCGCGCCGCCCATGGGGTCGGATTTCAGTTGCCAGCACTGTACGATTGCACTCAGTTTTATGATTGGTTCAAGCAGGGCCACGAACACATACTAGTACTAGTAGTAGTAGTACTACTAGTACTAGTACTAGTACTCAGTAGTAGTAGTAGTAGTAGTATAGTAGTAGTACGTAGTAGTAGTCGTTACATCGAGAGAGGCAAGCTTTTACAAAAGTTTCAGCAGCAGCACTTGAATCAAGGATTGGTTATATTCCAAAAATGTAACAGGGTCGTTGTTGTCATTTGGAACGCGTAGTCTGACGGACTGACTGTCGTCATGGCATGCAAAGAGACCACGAATGGTAGTGGTTATGTAGCGAGGTGTGCCCGGCAGAGCGACGATCATGCCAGTGGTGCCAATGAAAGCAGAGCGAGCGATTCCGGCAGCACAGAAGCAAATTCCGGCTGTGCTGCCCGCGCGGGCGAGGCAAGGGTTATACCGGAGGCAGTGCGTAGACTGAAGGATTTGCTTGTGGAGGAGTATGTCGGCGCCACCGTGGACATGGGAGAAGGAATGGTGGATGAGGGGCTGAGCGAGCCAAGCGTTTCAGACGTGCGTGTGCATCTAGTCATTTTATCTAGACCAGAGCTTCAAGGGGAGTTCCTCAACCCGAGTTTTGATTCAACAGGCGACATGTGGCGCATGGAGCATGTTTTCACGAGGGCAGCTGATAGTTTAGAGAACATCTCAATTGAAAGTCTCTTCAAGCTGGATGATGAGCAGATGCTGGAGTTTTCTAGCGGTCAACGCACATATCGCATCATGGCTGTTGCCAGCGCAGGATGCGGTAAAACGTTCATCTTCACCAGAGTGGCTCCATTGAAATGGGCCAAAAATGAAATGTGGATGTCATTTGACCTGGTGGTTGCACGTAAGCTACGAAACAAGGAGGTCAGAGAGGCGACGAATATCTGTGCTCTGCTTGGCATGGAAGAGCAAGGAGAGTTTACGAGTGAGGAGCGCAGGAGCATCGATGATTTTGTGCGCCGTCAAGCGCACCGTGTCTGCCTCGTGTTGGATGGCCTCGATGAGATCCGGTTAAGTGACTGCAGTGGCTTTGTTCGGGATATCATCAACGGATCCAAGGCAAAGGGACTGCGTCTGGTGGTGACATCGCGGCCGGGTGTTGGACTGCTGAGCCTGTGCGAAAGAAAACAGTTTGATCGGCGAGTGGAACTTGTCGGTTTCCGTCCAGAAGATGTGGAGGAGTACATTAGAAAGGTGCTGAGAAAACCGGAGGAGGCGTCCGCTCTGGTAGCGGCAGTACGTGATGACCAGCATCTTGGCAGCATGATAGCAACACCTTTCCTGGCCATGCAAACGTGCAAGATATTCCACTGCCGGAATCGCGTACTACCCCGCTGCCTGTCAGATATATTCGACATGATGATCATCCAAGTGGCGGAGCGTCAATCCGGCGAGTCCTACAAGAATTGGAGAGCAATTCCGACTGACCTGAAAGTCCTCATCCTTGGTCTTGGCAGATTTTCATTCAACATGCTGAACAGGAAACAGCTGGTATTCACCGATGGTGATCTGCAGACATACTCTATCACCAGAGAGGCAAAATCACTGGGCCTGCTCGTGCTAGCTGATAATACAAGCAAGGATACGGACAGGTTGTGGATGTTCAGTCATCTGACCCTGCAAGAGTCCCTGGCTGCACGCTATGTGGCCGTGAAAAAGGCAACAACACTGACACATGTTGTACGCCTGGTGGAGTTGCTCGGTCCGCAAACCTCTCATCTAAGAACTTTCTGGATGCTGCTGGCAGCCCAGTTGGATACAGAGAAAGCCGACTGTTTGATCAACAGCCTTCTGACACGGACAGCATCTGCCAAGGTAGAAACACAGTACTGGGAAGAGTCGGATGACGAGTGTGATGAAGCGTTTGATGTAGCATCACAAGTCTTCCCACTGGATATGGTCGAACCCCTATGCGCATGGCTGAATGATCATGAGAGCCGACGCCTTGCCGAAGAGTTGCTCAGTGGACAGATAGGTGGCCGCAGTGGTGCACGGTTGGTGGAGAGGCGATGTAAAAATGGCAGGAATGCTAGCACTGAGGATTTCCTGAAGGAGCTTCTCCTCATCTGGGTAGATTGTTGCCCAGACGCAACTCGTGGTTCGTTGGCTGCTGCTCTGCGTTGCATGGGCAAATATTCCCTTGCCCACTCTCTCACTACTGGTACGGCTGGTGAACAAGTTCCCCGGAAGAGTGGCTTGCACAAGGAAATAAAAGATGAACACAGTGCTAACGTGGATCTTGCTGTGCACTGCTATCCGGAGTATAATCGTCACCATGGCGGAGT